AGAGATATGAATAAAGTAGAGGAAGACGAAGTAGGAGAGAAGGAATAGGGGGAAGAAATATTGGGAGCAGAGAGAAAAGAGAGAGAGAGAGAAAGAAAGAGAGAGAGAGAGGAGAGAAAGAAAAGAAAGAGAAAAAAGTAAGAGAGAGCAAGAAAGCGAGAGAGAAAAGAGAAAGACAGAAAAAGAAAGATTAAGAAAGCGAGAGAAAGAAAAGACTTAGAGAAGGATAAAGAAAGATGGAGAGTGAGAGAGAGGAAGACCAACAGAAGAAAAGAGAAAGAGAGGAAGCATGAAATAAACAGAGAACAGGGGGCAACGCAAACACGCAAACACAAACTCGCGTAGCCAAGCACAGAGCACAGGGGATGGGGGAGGGAGGTCAGAGGCCAGGACAGGGAGTGGGGAAGGGAGATCAGAAGAGAGAGACACAGATAGATAGAGAGAGAGAGAGAAAGAGATAGGTAGATAGATGGATGAACTGATTTATAGATAGATAGATAGATAGATAGAGAGACAGGGAGTGGGAAAAGGAAGCTAGGAGAGGGAATGGGGAAGAGAGAGAGATAACAGATAGATAGATAGAGAGAGAGATAGAAAAAGACAAAGCGAAAGAGATAGAAAAAGCAAGACATGAAAATAGAGAAAGACAAAGACAACGAAAGAGAGAAAGAGAAAAAGAAAGAGAGAAAGAGAAAAAGAAAGAAAAAAAAAAGCAAAGACAACGAAAGAGAAAAGAAAAAAAGAAAGGTAAAGACAACGAAAGAGAGGAAGAAAGAAAAGACAAAGAAAGAGTAAGAGAAAAGAAAGAAAGAGAGAAAGACAAGACAAAGAGAGAAAGACAAAAAAAGAAAGTGAGAAAAAGAAACAAATACAAACGCAAAGACGTAGCGAAAGAAGACAAAAAGACACAAAAAAAAAAAAAACACGTAGCGAAAGAGAAAGCGAAAGAAAGAGAGAGAGACGCATCAACCCACGACAAATAAGGCTCTCAAATCACTTTCCAATAAGAGCTCGTAAATAGCGCTATGAATGGACAACCTGCTTATCCGCGCCGCTCCGCCGCGTTTGGAGAAAAGGGTGGTGTGGAGGATGAGGAAGCGTGGGGGAGGGGAGAAAAGGGTGGGGGGGGGGGGTAGAGGGTGTGGAGGATGAGAGGAGCAGGAGAGGAAGCGATGGGGGAGGGGGGGGGGGGTGGGGTCGTGGGGAGGGGGAGGAGAGAGGAAAGGGGTATGGGGGAGGGGGGGAAAGGGTGGGGAGGGGAGAGGAGGGGGTCTGGGGGAGAGAGGAGGCGTGGGGGAGGGGAAAAGGGTGGGGAAGGGAGGAGACTAGGAGGGGGAAGGGGTACGGGAAAGTGGGGGAGAGATGAGGGTAGGGAAGGGGGGATTGGGGGAGATAGAAGGAGAGAGGAGAGGGGAGGAGGTGAAGAGAGGAAAGGGGAGAGAGGAGGTGGGGAGAAGAGAGTGGGAGAAGGTGAGGATGGGGGCGAAAGGGAGCAATGAATAAGAAGAAGGAACGGAGAATATGGAAGGAAAAGGAAGAGAGGGAGAAAAGGGGGGGGAGGAAAAGGAAGGGAAGAAGAGGAAAAGAGGAGAAGAAGAAGGGAAAAGGAAAAGAAGAGAGGAGAGACGAGAGAAGAAGCGGGTGAGAAGGAGAGGGAGAGAGGAGTGTGAAGGGGAGACAAGAAGAGGAAAGAATGATGAAGGAGAGAGGGAGAAGAGGAGAGGGGGGCGAGAGGGGGTGGGGGAGGTGCTTAAGGAAAGAAACTGATTAGAGGGAAAGAAAGTTACGAAAAGTGGTCCTATATCTCACCTCCCGTTGACCTGCTTAAATATTCATTTTATTTCATACGATTCAAGTTAGAGACACTTTTGAAATGCGAGTCTATTTATTTTTTTATTTCACTTGTTTGTTTGTTTTTGGTGAAAATAGTTTCAGGTTTTCACTTTGTCCTTTAGCCTCGCATGCTCATTCAGAATTGCAATATGTACTTTTTCTCTTCTTGGAGCTTAAGGGCAATGTGTACGCAATTGCTAACATGTGGTATGATGCATGTAAGCCTTTTGCGGAGGGAAATGACATAAATACAATTAGCACGTTTAGTTTTCGCATAATATACATTACTGTAGATGGATGTAGACAGCTGATTTGTTTTCATAAATTACAAATGGTTATATATATATATATATATATATATATATATATATATATATATATATATATTATATATATATATATAATTATATACACACATATATATATATTATATATTATATATATATATATACATATATATATATATATATACATATATATACATTAACACAAAGAAACAAACACATTCTCTCTGTGTTTCTTTTTCTGCTTCTCAGTTCCTCTCTCTTGCCAATCTATATCTGCATCACATTACTGAAGAATTGCATTGTGTATTTATGGTTATATTCCGTATAATTCTTATCTCATATCCTTGTCATAACTATATTATGTATTTATCGTTATATTCCGTATAACTTATATTCTATAGCTTTGTCATACATATCTTCTCACACACATGTTTGCATATACGAATGTTCTATCCTGTTCGCCTCTCCTTGTCACATCAAACACACCAATGTTATTTCGTCTTTCCCCTTTCATAAGACCTACCAATTGCATACATATCAACACTTCCTTCTTATTCACCGACTGATTTATAATTATCCGTAGACCGCTGTATGACAGGTATTCCTCCTATAAGTAGCCAGGGAGTGATACCTTGCTCTTAATTAGAGGCAATTTTACTCCAACATCATCCTCACCTTTGATTATAGGATTCAAGAATCGGTAGTGTCTGCCTTACACACTAGGCTCACCGTCTACTATGCTCTTGTATAGGGCCTACCTCACGTGTGCTTACTCCGTCTCTGTCTGTCTGTCTGTCGCTCTCTCTCTCTCTCTCCTCTCTCTTTCTCTCTCTCTCTCTCTCTCTCTCTCTCTCTCTCTCTCTCTCTCTCTCTCTCTCTCTCTCTCTCTCTCTCTCTCTCTCTCTCTCTCTCTCTCTCTCTCTCTCTCTCTCTCTCTCTCTCTCTCTCTCTTTCTCGCTCTCCTTCACTTCTCTTCTCTTTCCTCAACCACTTTCGTCTTCTCCCAACGCACCTTTCGTCCTCCTGCTCGCTATTCCTCCCACTCGCTATATCTGTTTCCCAATCACCATGTGAGAGTGTGTAGGAGGTGAAAATGTGGCTTGATATCAATGATACCTTTATGTATTGGGGCTACGGTAGATTTCAACTGCGGGAGGGGGGGGGGGGGAGATGTCTGTGTGTTTGGGGTTATTTTTTTTCTCTGTTCTTTATTTCTGTGCATTGTCTGTGTATTTCCCTCTTTTTAATGCACACGTACGTACATGCATACACAGGGACATACGCGGACAAAGATACACAGACATGCACAGAGGGACACATACAAAGATACACGCACACAAGGAGAAAGATATAGGCAAAGATGCACACACACAGAGACACAAGCACAGACAAAGATGCACATAAGAACACATTCGCAGGGCCACACAAACAGACAACGACACACATATAGACACACAAAGACACATACACACACACACACACACATTTATACAATCTAAGAGAAACTTTGAAGTATTGATTGATATTTTTAGTTAAAGAGAATCACGAATAAATAGATGCATAGAAAGAACTGAAATAAGTTTGAAAATCTGTGTCTTCTCACAATAGCGGTAACAATGGCGGAATAACGCAGATAAAAATAGATGGAGAGAAGAGATAGACAAAACGATAAGAAAGAATGAGGAGGAGATAGGAAGGAAGGGGAAAAGGGGAAAGAGGAGGAGGAGGAGGAGAAGGAGAAGGGAAGAAAAAAATAATAAGAATAAGAGGAGGAGGAGGAATAGAGGAGAGAAGGGGAGAATGAGGAGGAAGAAGAAGAGGAGGAGGAGGAAGAGATTGATGATGGTGATGACGATGATGATAATGATGATGATTGATGAT